TTTTCAAATGTTTATATCAAGCAAGCATAACACTTTTTATTGAGAGTTTTTTTTGGGCATCTCCCATAATATAATTGACTATAATGACACGTCATCGTGGGAGACCTCTTTAAATATAGAATATAATAAATTTCAATTTATCTCGTGTTTCGGATAGGAAGGTCTTCTAATAAGGTTTTTCCGTGTATATTTACTTGGGCTAAGTATGTTTTGATTCCTTATAAACCATTTTTCTTCGATTCATGTTACAAGAACTATTTTATAAGATATCTTTGTAGATGTCCTCATTTTTTTCTTTGAACTTACCTAGTTTTGTTCATGCTTTTCCTTGCTCTATCTCTTGTGAGCAGAGGCTGTTTGGGAAAGGAGTTCTGAAAGGGGTAAGTACGAAGAGGTATCTCTCCAAAAATAAAATGGCGCTTGAACACAAGGAGAGCAAACAAAGAATTTAATGAGATAAGAAAAGTCCGACTCCAAGAGATAGAGCAACAACACCAAGATAACCAACAACTACGACTATTACAACCCCACCACAATTACTATAGTCCGACTCCAATATTTATAATTCTAACTAACCTTAACAAATATATATTTTAGGTTATTTTAAAGTAGTTATGACTTCAACGTAATCTTGTAGTCACATCTTCTTTAATTTAGATGAAGAATCGGTCACTGTACTTCTGATTGTATAATTGATTATTTCTGATGTTCGTGACTTTCAGGGTTTAGTCTCGTCGGTATCTAGATTTTGCATATTGTTTCGAAGGTCTTCCTACGCCACAATCCCATCCCTGCCAGGGGCAGAAGAGGAGAAAGATGAATGTTCCAGAGATCTTTATCCGCCTCGATCTCATTGTTGCCTTTCCGCTCACCTCAAACGACATCAACATAATCAATCTAACGGAGTAATAGATGAGAGTAATATAAGAGAATTGTGTGATATGCATGTAATATTAAAATTTGAGGTGTTTGATATAAAAATTAACAAGAATTGGGGGTATATATGTAAATTCCCCAACTATTTTTTTATTTTCACTTCATTCTAACTCTTCAAATAAAAAAACAAAAATAAAAGAAAAAACAGAGACAACAATTACATTCTTATCCAATTTTTAATCCAAGTAAAGAATCAACATCCATCAAATCCCCCCACAACATCATCCTAGCCGTTAATTCAAACCTTATTCCAAATTTTCAAACAATTACATTAATTGCAAATTAAACTTAACAAAAAATATAAATAAAAATCACAAAAAAAATAGAATAAATTTCAGAAAGTCATTAAAAATCACTTCCTAGCTTCACGCCACTAAGAACGAAGAAAAAAATCAATTTTTCGGCATATTAAGGGATCCCGGCTGCGACTGAAGAGGCGGAGCTGCTCTCCCCGCCGCCGAGGGCTTGGAGTGGCGGCGG